TACTTTTAATATGAAACAAAGTCTCAGATTTCAAATTCTGTCCATTGTATTGCAGTATTCAAACAATAAATGCCGTTTTGGCGCTGTTTAATGTGGAGTGACAGATCGCTGTAGGTCCTCAGTTCAACAGACGCAGCAGCGCGAGGCATACGTGAACTGATCATCTCCTCCACATTAATACCAGTTTCAGCACAAAATAATCATGACTAAACATCCAAAGGTAAGTTAAAAGAAAGAGTACAACTTTACAATCCGTATCCTGTCTCTTGTAATCGCTCAATCATTGTTTCAGCCGCGTCAATATAACGGCTTGTAAACAATGTCACGTAACATCACATTTACCGGAGAAAAACATATTCGGTGACCATAAACTCATTAATCAGATAGAAAAATAAACTGTAGAGAGGGGCATTTTGCTAAATATATGCACCATATAACATATTCATTAAAAACTGTTCTTCGATGTTTAATTTATGTTTGAATAAATCCATCAAGTTTTTATGACAGCCACCATTGTTTATATATATAAAAAAATGAATGGAAGTAGAAATATTATGTAATTGTAACTTTATTATTTTAAAACTTCATTAAGTGTAATTTTAACAAATCAGTTCGTTTTAACCTTCAATATTATAGTAATGTAGTACCAACTGACTCTCATGTATATTTTAGTTGAGAGATTTTTTTTCCTTGAGAAAATGTGGCATGTGCTGTACCTGATATATATCCAAAATAATCTATATTGAATCTAATTGAATCGCAAGCTTGTGAATGAGAATCTAATCGAATCATGAAATTATTGTCAAAACCCAGCCCTAATAGATAGATAGATAGATGGATAGATGGATGGATAGATGGATACACATTAATATAACAACATACCTTGTAGAGCAAAGGTGATTGTCCAAGTTTCAGCAGTGCTATTTTATTGGTCACATTTGCTTGGACCCGTCTCAAATCCTCTGGACTCCCATACTGAATGTCCACCACCTCTGCCTGAAAAAAAATAAACATTTTTTAAACATCTACCATTTTAAAATGGGTCAGGGTAGAGTCTGACCTCTCTCGCTGTGTGTGTGTGAGGAATAACAAGCCTCTGATTTGCAATGTTGTGACTCGCATAACTCACCCCATAAAGCTAGTTGTCACATTCATTACAGATAGCAAAGCATGAGTGAAAACAAAGTGAACATCTCAGGCTGTGTATAATGGGGGACAAGTACATATATTAGCCACCGCACTATAAATCACGCACAGACGTGGCATAGATGTCACAGCTCTGAAAGAATTCAAGGCAGATTCATGGCAGCTACAGGCCGCGGCGTCCTTTTTGTCATTTAGTCTGCACTAGTAAACCAGAACCCGGTTTGTGAGTTTAAGAAAAGTGAGTGCCTCGGACTGACGAGGGTTGATGAGGTGGGGTCAAACTAAATGCTATTTAAGGCCCGGAGACACAAAAGGTAATGCATTTCCACGAGTTTGATTAATTTTTCTTTGGGCCTAGGGGGAAATTAAACATGATTCCGGGCAGGAGAGTACATCTAGTCGGTATCACGAAACCACAAGACCATTGAAAGATGGGATTTATCACTAATGTCTGCATTTGCATTAGCAAAGTGTTCCGTCTAACCCCAAAGAAGAGGCAGAAAATTGGGAATGGATGAGATTTGCACTGAGAGGCTGTCATTAAGGTAATGAAATTAACGAGGGCACGCATTGCGGTGAACAAATCACATTTTCTAGACGAGCGACGGCTCCTTTCACGAGTCATCTCACCCCTGGCGACTCGAAGCAGCTAGAGGAAAATAACAGTTGTTTTCACATCTACGTGATTGAGGAGTGGAAAGAAATACCCACCCCGTAATTAAACTTTATTTTGAGGAGAATGTTAAATACCACCCCAATCGTGCTGCACCATTAGAGGCCAGACTGCATGTCCTCTGTGAATAAAAATTCGCCACTTCAACGCTCAGTTCATTTTCATTTTGCGAGAGGCTGTGAAGCATTATTACAGTGAGAAGCTCTTGAAATTTCAAAGCAATTCAAATAGCCCTTCTTGTGTCCATCTGGTTGAACTTTTTGTAAATATCCATGTAAGATTACAATTCGAACTATGTTAACACACCGGCTTTGTCTAGGTGTTGCAGAAACGTTTCATCATTTTACCGCTTTACTTTTTAAATAACACTATCAATGTTAAATGAATACAAATGACCACTCCCAACAGTATAGCTCATGTATCAAAGGAAACACTCAGAACAAGGCGTTTCATGGAGCGCATATAGAGCAGGGATTTTTTTTCTCTCTCTCTACGCTTCTTCATACATCAGCTACAACATCAAAAATACTCTGTGCAGCTCATATGTTCAAAAACAATGACCAATTTTAGAGATCTATGCAATTCTTTATTTATCCAAAAAAGGCTTAATGAAGGGCGGGTGTGTGTGACAACGCTGCAGGGTTGACACCAATTGTTGTTTGATTTTAAAGGGGTTTTTTTGTGGAAAGAAAAAAAAAAAAAAAAAAAAAAAAACTAATTAATAAAGAAATGCCTTCCCAGATATGAACACTTAACACTCAAAATGAAAAGAGAACATATGAACTCTTCCTCAAGCATATCAGCTCTTCAACCAAAGCTATAGTGAAGAAGATGAAGTCCCCTGCTCAATTTTTTTTAAGTATAATTCAAAATTAATGTACAAGTATATGACTCATCAGTAATTATTACTTTAATGCAGTGGTTCTCATTTAAATGGCCGAGAGCCACAAGGAGGCATCAGCAAGGGCGGCTCAAGATTACTTTTTTTATTTTTCATTGAATTAATTAAAATAGTGAATGAATGAATGAATGAATACATACATACATGCAGAAATGTTATTCTGTAAATCATAAATCATTAGAAAAGTCCTGTAAATGAATTTGTTAAAAATATTCAGCTATGTAAACTTCTGGAATCCTGCATTTAAGTTACAGAAAGGTTGTGGTGCCATTTGAATATTACTGTAGGCAATTGGGGGAGCCAAAAAGATTAAGAACCACACATTTTAATGGCTTTGCATTGTAAGCATTAAAGGGAAGCAAAATGCATGAATATGATACATGTTAATATAGGTAAATGATAAAACTGCAACACTCATTTTTGTATAAAATGGGTGTTTGGCTCAAAGAAAAAAGTAGAAGACCCATGTCTGTGAGTAGGCCAGAAACACAAAATAAAAGAAGAGGAACTTTAATTCTCACTACCTGACCTCACTTTCTTCGTAGAGAAATTAAAGGCAGTAATTGCCCAGCGCCTGCACCTGATCATCACTAATATAGTGTGGAGAGAAATAGCCAGGGAGCATGGAGGATTTAACTCATCAAAACTAATTACCCTCGGGAGCCCCCTCAAACTTATTACTGACCAGAAGTAAAGCCTCCACTCTAATTACCTCAAGCTATCAAATTACCTGCAGTTTTCTGTGTTTGTTTCTTGTTTAGACTTCAAATGATTTGGCTCTTTGAATTAAGCAAAATGCTGGGGACAAAGTGACATTTATAGATTCCTTGAAGAAATGAAAACACACAATATGATTGCTTTGCTGATTGCGCTGTGGTATAAAAAAGGGCATTCTTTGTTGGTACAAGTGAACATTTTCAGCACCATTTGATTGATAATTATCTGTTTCCACATGGTTGACTCAATGAAGATGTCAATATCTGTGCTAACACACACATAATTTGTTTTGGGAGAGAAAAAATAGAAGTTGTGCATTTGTAGAACTTACACACATTCCTGGTATTATTGCGCATGCATTATCAGTGCATGCTATTCCAAGTAAAATAAGTGTAATTAATAGCAGAATAATAAGTGTAGAAGACTCAAAATTAACCAATTTTATTCACAACTCAACTTATTCACAATTTTATTCACAACTCAACTATCAACTACCTTTAAATTTAATGCTTCTTTGATTTTACTCAATTTACTTGGGAAAAACAATACAATTTAACCTAAAATAGGGCTTGATTATACATATTTTAAGTGCTTCATTATTACTTTATAATTGGCATAATTAGTTATACTGCTCTGCAGATCACAGCTGTCTGTGGATATGTGACTGTGATAACGCCCTGCATCTCTATGTTTTCAGTGGAAAAGATGGTGAATTTTTTAGCCCAGCTGTGGAGCTGGGAGTTGGTAAAAATACATAATGTGAAATGTCCAGTGACCCATGAGCGGCTCAGGATATCTGGATGAATCTCTAACGCCTCGGCACGAGATCCCCGAGCATTTCATCCATCAAGCCAGTCATATTTGTTTTTCCCTGCTGATTTTTAGACATTGCAAATGCAGTTTAATTTACATCAGAGCCTTGAGTATGTGCAGTGTTTTGATGGATGACTTTGAACCCCCTTGTAGAGGACGACATGAAAGACTAGCTGTGACTTACTCCAATAACTTTTTACTGAAGCTTATCCCTGTTAGATGCAGTGTGTCTGTCTTGAAACGGATAATGGCAATGCATCTTCCTTAGACATTTCCTGTTCCCTTTAGAGACAGAAAGCATAATCTCTAAAAATAGCTGGAGAATATATCACACACGTGTGAAATGGGTTCAGTCTTGCATAATGGATTTGTTTTAACCTTCCAACAGGATGAAGCGTTCAGGGCTGTGAAAGTGAGAGTGTGAGAGCAGAACGCTAATTCAGCTGCAACTGGCAATGCAATGCATTTATTGTACAGTACAGTCAATAATATAACAAGGTCAACAAGCAACTTTGTGTTCCATGATTCTTGTTACTCTATTAAAAATGATAAAACAGTTAGTTCAAGCCCTCAAAATTGATTGGCTAAGTGGCATTCCAGTGCTGATATTTATTGTGACTAACATTTATTTTCATGATGTTTCAGACCAAAGTATTTGAGTAGTGTGAAGTGGAATAGAGCAGGGATTTTTACCTAGCATGAAGATCAAAAATGCAGAAGTTTAACTTGTAGTGTGGGGTGGTTGGGTTGGGTGGTGCTTGGATCAGGGTTTCACTCACCAATGAGCAGGAAATGGAAAACCAGTAATGGAGCAGGTGTGATTACAGAGTTCTTTGAGCATTAAAACAGATGCTGTTCCACTAACATACTCCGTTTCAGTCCATGTGCTACTTGACGACTTGCAAAGTTTTGACATTTTTGAATCATTTTCATTGGTGGGGTTGGGGTAAATGAAGTAACCAAGTTACTGAAACATACATTAACCTTATGCTCTGTAAGGCTACATTTAATTGATCAAAAATAAAGTAAAATGATTCACATACTGTGAAATATTATTACCATTTTAAAATGAATATTTTCCATTTTAATATCTTAAGTTTAATTTAGTCTTCTGATGAAAAACTGAAATTTCAGCATCATTACGCCAGTCTTCAAAGTCACATGATCCTTCGGAAATCATTCTAATATCTGATATTAGATAATATTTCTTCTTATTATCAGTGTTAGAAACTATTGCGCTGCTTATTTTGTGAAAACCATGATACTTTTTTTATTTGACCAAGAAAATGTTCAAAAGAACAGAATTTAAATTATAACAAAACTCTTTTTTTGTATTATTAAAACATAATAAATGCCTTTACTTTTTTTTGTTCAATTTAATAGAGCCTTACTGAATTAAAGTATTAATTTCTTAAACAAAATTCAGGCAAATTAGGTTACACTGAAAAAAAAAAAAAAAATTAAGGGTTAGATCATAAATAGAGCTTTGAACTAACATCTGCAAATGACCCATTTTAGGTTTGGTTTGCATAATCTAATGCATTTAAGGGTTTGTTTACACTTGGCAGGTGCAGTTTGTGTGTGCAAGTCAAGTGTGAACACTGCCATTCAAACCTTAGTGCGCACCAAACAAGCAGCCTGAGACCCACCTTTTCACATTTTGAACCAGAGACATCTAAACGAAACAAGATGTGACCCTAAAGGACAAAATGCTGAAGCACACCTTGTCATAGAAGTAATATTGCCCAGTACAGTTTGGTACCAGAGTCAGAACCGTCGCTTCCTTGCAGCAGATCTTGTTTGTGTGTGCGCAACTCCTGGCGCTGTTTTGACTCCTTTACATATTTTATAAGCTCTTTTTGAGTTATAAGCTGGTAAAAATACCACATGTATACACAAACAACAAGCGCATTTAACCCTGCACACAGCATTGTTTTGGGAATTTTGCAAAAAAATACAACATAAAAGGTTGTGATACTTATGCGTTTTGTTTTGCATCTTAAGTCAAGCGCAATCATGACCATGTGTTATTGATCGCTTGAGTATACACTTGAGTACAACAGTATACATGTAACTTACCACTAGATTTCCCACAGCCGAATAGGCTGCAAAGGCAAATGGTTCAGTCGTGGATGCGAATGGCTGGTCACACCTCACTCCGATGGGCAGGTAACACTGGTTTCCGCTTATATCGGTGATCGTGCTGAGGGCGGGTCCGGGATAGCTCAGGAGAGCTGTGTGATTGGTTACCTGGACGTCTTTTAATCCAAGCTCCTCCCACCGCTGAGCGATGTACCTGACCTTGGACTCTTCCGTGAGATCAGACAAGCTGTCAAAGTCCCTGTGTCGAAGCAGACAAAACAGCAAGGAAACATCATTAAATGCGTCAAGGATTTTGAAGGCTCTTCTCACGGCCCAACATCAAGACGACACTTAAAGCATTGATGAATATGCACGAGCCTCATTATCATTAGCGTAATTAGCACATTGTTGACTTTAGGTTAACATTTGTTTTCCTCAAAGGTATTTACATGGTCTATTGACGTGAAGCTGCAGCTAGAAACGAGGGACAGAAACGGAGAGACGGCCTCCATAATTCATATTCCGGACAAGCTTCAGTTAATGTAACTGATGAATATGGCAGTGCAGGGAATCAATTGTCTGCTGCACAAACGGATGCACTATTAAAAAAGGATTGCCGGGAGAGAAAGTAAATTAGCAACAGACGGTTAAACATGAGAGAGAGAAATGAAGCACTGCTAAGGTGCTCTGGCAGCTCGGCTTCGCTGATTTCTTACCCGTCACGGCACGTGGAAGGCACAAAGAGAAACACATCGTTATCTTGTAACTTGGAAACTTTAAGAGCTCTCAGGCCCATCAGCATGCCAAAGCTCACTCTGTGATGTTATAGGAGAAACCAAGCAGGCCTGCCCATTCTCTCAATCTTCAAAACAAAATTAATTGAAGTGTAAAAGTGAGCCAAGAGCCTCCAGAGACTATAAATCATTTAATTGCACTTTTTTCCTCTTTATCCACCATGATGAATTTGCACAAGTTGATCATTGCCACATGACACCTTCAATATCCTCTACCCAGACGCAAACTGGGACAGATTGTTCCTCTTCTCCGCTAACAAACAGTTCTCTCATTATAGTGCTTTTTTTGTTGAAAAAAAAAAAAACATTTCAAAACAGAAAAGCAAAAACATCCTGCCATATTTGTACTGCCTCATAAGAAAGATACAGACTAAATCAACAATGGCTGGTCTGCTTACTGCTGAGAGATGTTTTATACACAAATATTCTTTATTAAATTCTAATCTGTGTTGTGTTGCTGTCTTGCAAAGTGCTCTGTGTAAAAAAAGAGGTTTCACAGGATGTTTTCTTAGCTAAAGTTATTTACTTGAGTACATTTCTTGACTGAAATTTGATCAGTTGACTACTTAGATAAGGTAACTATACAATGACTTCAGTTTTACTAATAAAAATTAGACATTAGACAGTATTGTGTAATTTAGCCAATGTTTCCTATCAGAAATATTGTAGGGTAAAACTCAAAAACAATTAAATCACAAGATCAGAATACAAGAAGCTGCTAAACTTGACCAGAAAAACAAGTAATTAATATAAATAAATCACAAATATTCAAATGACTATAATTATTCATGCCCATAGTGGGTGCAAAACCAAAACAAATTCTAAAACATTACACGCACACACTAAAAGAATTATTTAGAATCCTGAAGTTATTTGTAAATAAATAAATAAAATAAACTTTTCTGTCCATGCTGCCCATATGAGAGAAAAAAAACACACAAAAAAACATTTTAACATTCATATGTTTTTTTCTCATATGGACAGTATGGACAGAAACGTTTTAAATTCCCCTCACATACCGATGCTTAATTCCTGCTTAAAAATGCACCACCGTTACAGAAGCAAGCAGTTTTGCAAGTTTCCTTCTAGCTTCTCAAGCACAAGACTCATCCAGTGATTCAAGAGAGCGGACATGCAGTCCAGCCCCACATTGAGCCACTGTGACCTGAGAGAGTGTGTCCAATCCCTCACGGCTGTGCATGGGTGCCTGGGTAATCTAATTAAAAGCGTGCTCTGCATGAGTGGAGAGGATGATTCCTAACCTCTCTCAGGGAATGCTTCTCCAACCTCCACCCCCACTGCAGCTGGCACAAGACTAAAACACCTGACTTAAAGTGAAACAAATCAGCCAAATGAATCAGTAACACGTGGTGACGTACATTAACTCATTACTCAGTCACTCAATACTTTCAATAAAAGGTCAAATCAGTTAACTCTGGGTCCATTTATAACAAAGACATTATCCTCAACGTCCACAGTCTCTCCACTGACCAATCCCAAAAGAGATCAGAGCAGAAGACAGCGAAACTAATCACCAATCCTACCAGTCACAGCTTGACCAAATCCAGCCTCTTGTGGAGCAGCGTTTGTGGAGGTGCTCTCCACAGCATGACCTGATGATTGATGCTTTCTCCTCCGCCTGGAGAAAAGATCAGTCACTACCTCACACAAGCCCGGCTCACGGCTGACACCGCTGGCAAGAAACAAGAGGAGTCTGCAAACCCTTGCGATGGCAGATCCTTAACTCAGCACCATCTGTTACTGAGACTAATACAGACATCAGGAGAGAAGCACTGCTCTCCTGTCAAGCAACAAAAATCAGCCATTTTCGCACAGGAAGCCTGTCAACAAAGCAGCCAGATGAGGCTTTATTTCTCCAAGTTTCAAAGCAATTATCCTATCAGAATGAATATGCCGATGTCAAACTGCTATAATTCCCTTTGTTAGAAACATACCTCGTGCTTTTGTGCAAGCATTCTCCATCTTTATGTTGAGCAAATACAAGTGGAGGAATGATTCCCTAGCCTCTGTAATTATATACGGTTGAGCGGAGATGATTGACAGCTGATGTATCTTGCAGGTGGTCACCTGGGTTTTGCTTGGGTGAGGCTAGCACAGGGGTGCCCAACCCTGCTCCTGGCGATCGACTGTCCTGCAAAGTTCAGCTCCAATCCTAATCAAACACACCTGAAGCAATTAATTAAGGTCTTCAGGATCACTTAAAAATTAAAGGCAGGTGTGTTTGATTAGAGTTGGAGCTAAACTTTGCAGGACAGTCGATCGCTAGGAGCAGGGTTGGGCACCCCTGGGCTAGCATGTCATCTGGGTGGCTATTGAACTGTGGAGGTGCTATTATGGTTGATAACACTGGCGGTACTGAGTCCCACACCATATAAAAGCTCTTGGCTTTTTTTGTCCCCCAGGGTCCTTGAAGGGGCCATAGTGTGTTAGAGAGGCGAACAAAGAGAAAGATAGGAGATATCTGTGGAAGCTTTCACTCCGTTAAAAATGTGTGACCCTCCTGTCCTTCAAAGGAACATTTCAAAAGTGGTGATTCAGGGAGGGAAAAAAGATTCAAATCAATTTAATTTGCTCTTTTTGTCCCTAAGCAGCTGAAATGAAACATGAAATTTGCATTTGCCATATCAATTACAAATACATGAGCAATTCTTACAAATATTTCCATTTAACACATAAAAAACCTTACAAATGTCAGCTTGAAATGAACAAAGGCCATTATAATTGATTATAATCCCATTAGCCACACTACTATTCAAAAGTTTGGGATCAGGTTTTCTTAAGAAATATTTTTTTTAGCAATGACTCATTATATCAATCAAAAGTGACAGTAAAGGCATTTATAATTCAAGAAACAATTTCTTTTTCAAATAAATTTGCTCTTTTGAACTTTCCGTTCATCAAAAAGGCCTGAAAATGTGTCATGGTTTCCACAAACATATATTAACATATAACATATAATCAGCATATTAGAATGATTTCTGAAATTTTCAAGACTGGAGTAATGGCTGATGAAAAATCAGCTTTGCCATCAGAGGAATAAATGACATTTTTAAATAATTAGAATTATTTTAGATTTCTGAATATATAAATGCAGCTCTGGTGAGCATAACAGATTTCTTTTAAAAGCATTAAAAAAAAATCTAATCATCCAAAAACATTTAAATGGTAGTACAGAAGATTGTGTCATGTTTTGTGATGTGTAAAGCAAATTAGTTTTGCATGGCTGGGAAAATGCAACACCTGTAGCATGGCAGCAAAAAAAAGAAACTGTTTAAATGTTTCATAAAGTGAAATGGAAATATAAAATTACAATACTATGAATATGCACAAACAGCATTCACAAATGCATTTAGGTCAATGACTCTTAAACAACCATGTAACACAAGCTCTCATCTAAAACACCAAAAATGAATCATGACATCTAAACAACCCCCGAAATACACTGTTGTTGACTTTCCGGCAGTCAGGAAGGAAGAAAACAAAAGACGCTGAACTTTCCTTGAACTTAGAAAGGAGATAAAAAGAGACGTTTGTCTGGCAAGCTGGAAGCCCTGAACGGATTTCTGATACAGAGAAGACATCTGCATCAGTAATGCAAAGCGATGCTCAAGTACATTTGCGATCACTCCCCCTCTCTGTGTGGATTCATCCTAAAGAAAGCAGTCATATATAACGGGGTTTACGACGATAAAGCAGCAGCCTCGGGAGGAGGAAGCATGGAAGATGTGTTTAAAAAATTACAACCAAGGCCTTCAAAGCACTGCAGGGCAAAGGGAGAGTGAGATGAATAAACATTGGACATTAGTGAGTTTTAGTTAGGAGTGTGCAGTATTCAACAACTGAGAATATAAATTTTGAGTCATTGTTTTTAAACCACCTATTCCTATCTCTACTGCCTCTTATTACTTCTACAGCCAACAAATGCACGTAGGAAGGAACTTATGGTCTGTGTTTACTACAAATAGTAAACATAGCTAATGTGCAAATAATGTGAAATGACTTGTTGGTTGTTGCCCGTTGAGTATTTTAGACATTTATGGATTTCATTGCCTTTGCCATGGTTTATCAATCTAGGGCTTGTGAGCCGAAGAAAAGCTAATAATTAATTAAATCATAAAAATTCTAAATAAATAAATAAAAACAATCAAGTACAGTGAAGTAATGGCTGCTGAAAATTCAGCTCTGCCATCACAGTAATAAATAGCATTTTAAAATATATTGAAATAGAAAACAGCTATTGAAAATGTTAAATTACAATAAATAATTTAAAAATAAAAGCAACCAAAATAAAACACTTGAACTGTATTTCTTTTTCATTTGTTTTCCATGTAACTGAAAACTGTGAACACAAAGATGCTGGAATGCTTAAATTACTGGAAAATTAACTTAAAATCTCAGGAGGTACTTCAGGTATATATTTTAGATCACCAGGGTTTGGCTGTCAAAATAGTTTTATTTTTTATAAATATAAATAAAGTGTTCCTATTTTTATAAGTACATTTTTACAGAACTGTTACATGCACACCATCACCTTGACTATTTACATTTTCAAGAAAGAGGCTAAAAGAACAAGAATATAAGAAAACTATCTAGGAAAAATAAGAATAAATCATAAATAATAATAAATAACTAAATTACAATCAACTTGATTAATAATGAGAATAAATTATAATGATCATGAATCACATATAATAAGTAAAATAAAATAAAATGAGTAAAATAAATAAATAAATAATGCATCCTTCACTACCATGCATTCAGAAGTAATTATCTGTGTGTGTGTGTTTCTGTGAATTGTGGGGACTTTCCATATACTTTTATTACTTTTATGCTGACCAAACGATATTTTCCATCCACTAACCCAATCCTAACCCTAAACCTACCCCTTACAGAAAACCTGTTTGCATTGTTAAACTTTCAGATAAACATCATTTACTATTTTTTATATTTTTTCCCTCGTATTTTAATATTTGTTTTTACATCATTCCCACAATGCAAAAAAATTCAGGTTTTACGACCCTTGTGGGGACATTTGGTCCCCACAATGTAGCACACACAAACACACACA